ATTTGGGTACAAAACCTTTACTCATGTTTGTTTGTGGAAATGTATTTTTTCCTTTAAGAAATTTCCATGTGCTTCAGTTGTGTTTGAAGTTAGTGGCTGGTTTATTTGGTTTTCCCTCCTGATGGCCGTTAACTCTTAAAAAGGCTGCTGGAGCAGTTTGGCTGCTGAGCAGAGGAGGAGGTCTGGGAGTGGGCATGAGGAGTAGGAAGTAAAACGTTGCAGCCTTTTATAGGGATAAGAAAGAAAAATCACGCTACTCTGTAAGAAGAAAAGCAAGTTCACAGTGCACGTGTCAACATCTCATTACCCGGTGTCATCCCACAAGGGTCAGTAAATGCTGCCCTCCCAGCAGCGTGGGGTTGTTTTGGAATTGTGTGGTACGACACCATTAGCGTGAGGTTTGCTAATTATATAATGGAATCTTTTTTATTTGGGAAGCATTTCAGGCAAATAATCTCCAGCAAACACCAAAGTACCCATCTTGTGCTGTGTAACCACCATTCTTTCTGCTCCTATCTCCGAATCTCATGGCACAACCGTTCTCACCTTAAACCTATCAGCTGTTACCAGATTGATTTTGCTGATCCCACGTTGTCTTTGCAAGTCCAAAGAAGGTAGCAGCTTTGTGTGATGCGTTCCCTTTCCCTTCCCATTGATGTCTGTCTCGCCACTCGTGACTGGTTTGCTGTAACTCATTGCTGTGGATTTCACAGTTTGGGTTCATGATGTATTCAGGTCGCTCCCGATCTGTCACCGTGCTGTTTACCACAGACTCACCAGTGCTTGACTTGAAAGGTTCCTCCATAATCGGCGATAAGTTGGCAAGACATTGCCTTTAGTTTTAGTACCGTGCCAATACCTGTAGTGCTGCTTTGCTCCACGATGCTTGCTGTAACAGAAACCAAAGCCCATCGCCACACTTTGGAGTCTTTAGGAAGACACTGATGTCCTCTCACGAGACCAGCACTCCTCTGGGGAAGGCTGGCATTCTGCCACTGTAAGGAGAGACTGTTCCGAAGTACTTTCTGCCTGCTTGTAGGCTGTTATGCACTTTCATGGTTTAACAAACTACTGTTAAAAATGTACTGTAACATGGAATTTTGATAAGCGCACATGTATGTAAACATTTCACTCAGCCTCAGGAAAGCTGGAAAAATTAGATACCTGTTTTGTATCTCGGTTGTTTGTTACCTACATCCTTGGAAATGGACAGATAATGTCTAGATGCTGTGAGTGTAGCTGTTGTGTGAGATACTGGTGTGGTCTGTAGGAGGAGGACGGTGTCATTTGAATCTAGGGACTGAGAGAATGGTGTCCTCTTATTTTGCTGAAACATACATACACAAAATCTGAATTGGACCTGCAAAAGCAGTGATAAACCCCATTTACTGTTCAGGAAAAATATGTGTTCTGTCATAAAAGCTTGTTTCTGTTTTCTTCCTTCTCCTTAAGAAGCGTATGTGAAATAAGTATGGAGGTATGCGTAGGACAAACTGTAAAACCGCTGCTGTACATAATGTTTGCTACTTGACTGCATTTTCTGTTCTACTTTAATTTTACTGGTTTTGCTAAATATATTTTATATATTTTCCTTCCTGCTTCTTGTGATGGCAGAGTGATTGCATCTTTTGGGGGGGGAACAAAAATGAATGTGAGAAGGCCCTGGCCACAAAGATCCATCAAGTTAGGATGTCAGTATATATATCTCATAACTTCTGTTGAGAGAGAGCACAGCACAAACTGGGGACGATGTGGCACAGTAAAATCAATTGATATATAAAAAGTACAGAGGTAATGGTCATCCCGTTTCAGGGTGGGGGGTTGTTTTGTTGTTTGTTTGATTTTGTTGTTTTTTAAATGGATGCTTCCCTGTGTGACCTACTGCATGAACCTGCATTAGCAGCGGGTTGGAGTGGATGACATCCAGAGGTCCCTGCCAGCCCCTACAATTCTGTCATCATCTAAAATCCATTTAAAACATCAGCACCGTTAGATTTCTCCCAAATGCTTTTCCATCTGAGGTCTGTAGCCCTCTTTGTGGCCCATGAATTATGTGCAAGGGCTCTACAAGGTCTGATAAAAGAGAAGTCATCGTGATCACATGCAATATTTGCACATCCATGAGAGAGAACTGAGAGTCCATAAATGGGCTGAGGTTGAAACCTCCTTCCTACTGCACTGAAAATTCAGAGGATGACTGAGAGCTCCTAGAAGGCCGACAGTAACCTGTGCTGCGGGGACCAGGTGATGTACACTGAGTACCCCACTGGTAGAGCATGCTGTGTTTTGTGTCTGCATCACTAGAAGCAGTCCATCTATATTTAAGTACTGCGTGCTTGGTTGTCTTCCAACTGAAATGTGCACTTGGTTTGCCAGTGCTAAAAACATCCATGTTTTTGGGAAAATAGCTGTTAAGCATGACTTCCATCAGTAAAGACAAAATATGGTGGACTATAAAATAAGCCCAAACGTGAAAACACAAAATCCTGATTAGCAGCAAGTGGCTATTGCTTTCCAGTGTATAAATTGTTTTTTAAAAACTGCTGTGTGCTTTGGTCCTGAGCTGCTCCAACACAAAGCACTTGCTGATGTGTCAGTGAAGCAGCAGTGGTCTGAATGGTCAGACAGAAGTCTCAGGGATGTCCACATCACTGTGTTTCCAAGAAAACTGTGACTGACAGGGCAGGGGTAGATAGCTTACCTTTGGGCAACTTCTGCAAAAAAAGGATTAAGAAACAACAAAGCATACACAATAATTATATTGTAGGGTTCACATGACTGGTGTTCCCACACTGGTGGCTGGTTTGCTCTCATGTCCCCAGAGAAGCAGTTCTGAAAGACATAACCAGTTTTCCTTTGCAAAGGATCATTCCAGCATCTCTGCTTTCCTGCCACCATCACCTATCACAGGTTCAAGCAGCTCCAAGCAGTGCCTTACAGCAAAGCCAAAAGGCTGCTGCCTGCCCGCCCCCAGGCCTGCAGAGCTGTGCGTGATTCTGTGACCCTTTGGAAAGGAGGAGCCATCGGTGGCAGCAGGGTCTGGTGCTCCAGGAAGCCGCACCCATCAGAAATGGCTGCACAGCCTCCTTTACCCTTCCATTCTTCAATTCTATCAGCCCTCTGAGCACTTTTTTTTTCCACCTAAAACAAAGCTGCACGGAATGCAGCACGCAGTCAGGTTCCTGTCCCTCGGTGTTGACATTCCTCCCCAGCACTGAGGTGGCAGTGCGCTGCCGCAGGGCCGGAGCTGAGCCCTCCAACGCTCAGCACAGCGCTGGGTATCAGAGCGCTCCAGCGGTGCCTCGGAACAGCGGCGCCTCTGGGCACATCCAGCTCTGGAGACGGCCGTGCGGTTTTATGCGGTTCATCTCTAAGCTGTGAATCGCTTAGTCGAGGTGAGGCTGTTTTGGAGCCTCTCGGAGCACCGGAGTTGCGGGAAGAAGGGCTCGAGCGCGCCTGCCGCCCAAGGCAGTCCCTCGGCCGGCTTCAGGCCGCGCTCCCCTCCTTGCGGGACAGCCGGCCGCAAAACAGCACGGGCCCACCGCCCGGGCGGCACGCGGGGCCTCCCCTCAGAAAGGGCGGGAAGGGGCGGGCAGAGCAGCGCCAGGCACCGCCCTCCTCCCGCGGAGCCGGCAGGGGGCGCGCGCCCCTCGGCCCACACGGCCGCGCGCGGCGCTGGGGAGGGGCGGGGCCCGGGTGCGCGGAGGGATCTGTCGGCCGGTGAGTGCAAGCGGGGCGGCGAGTGGTGCGGCCGCCGGTGTGCTCGTCCGCCCGCCTCTCGTCTGCCATGAGAGCGGGAGGGGCCGGGACCGGGCCGGCGTTCCTCCCGCGGTGCCCGAGGGCCTCTGCGGGCCGGGAGGCGCTGCGAGGCCGTGGGGCGCTGCGAGGCCGTGGGGCGGTGTGGGAGCGTCTGCCGGCGCCCGGCACGTTAATGCGGGGAGAGGAGGGGACGGGCGGTGCAGGACGGAGGTCGTACGTACGGAGCGATCCCCTGCGCTTCTGCAGCGCGGCTGTCCCGCCCGGCCGCGCTCTGCAGGCCGTCCGCCCCGCTGCAGCCTCAGCGCGCGGGTGTGGGACGCGGCTCTGCACGGCTTGTTGGTCACAACAACCCCAGGCAAACCTTCAGGCCTGGGGAGCAGTGGCTGGAAAGCTGCCTGGTGGAAAGGGACCTCGGTGCACTGATGGACAGTTGAATATGAGCCAGCAGTGTGCCCAGGTGGCCAAGAAGGCCAATGGCATCCTGGCTTGTATCAGGAATGGTGTGGTGAGCAGGACTAGGGAAGTCATCCTGCCCCTGTACTCGGCACTGGTGAGGCCTCACCTCGAGTGCTGTGTTCAGTTTTGGGCACCTCAGTACAGAAGGGACATGGAGGTGCTGGTGCAGGTCCGAAGAAGGGCAGCAAGGCTTGTGTAGGGCTTGGAGAATGTGGCCTATGAGGAGAGACTGAAGGAACTGGGGCTGTTCAGGCTGGGGAAATGGAGGCTGAGGGGAAACCTTACTGCTCTCTTCCAGCACCTGAAAGGTGCTTACAGCGAGAGAGGGGCTGGTCTCTTGTCACTGGTGGCAGGTGGCAGGACAAGGGGAAATGGCCTCAAGTTGTGCCAGGGTAAGTTTAGGTTGGATATCAGGAAAAACTTATTTACAGAAAGGGTTGTGAAGCACTGGAATAGGCTGCCCGAGGAAGTGGTTGAGTCACCATCCCTGGATGTATTTAAAAACTGTTTGGATGTGGTGCTCAGGGACATGATTTAGCAGAGGGCTGTTAGTTAGGGTAGTATGGTCAGGTTGTGGTTGGACTTGGTGATCATTGAGGTGTGTTCTAACCTGAGCTATTCTATGATTCTATGAAAAGCATATCAGCCAGGAAATGTTGGAATTATTAAGGGAAAAAGAGGGAATGCGGCAGAGAGCATAGTGTGGGAGAAGAGAGGAATGAGGGTTGATGAATACAGGGAAGCTCTGCTAAGGGACAGAAGCCAGGGGCTGTGGGGGGAGCAGCCCACACACGGCTGTGGAGTGGTGGGGCTGTATGAGGTGGGGTCACACATCAGTTCTTTCCCATGCGATAAGTGCCTGCATCTAGTGGATCCGGTAGCCATGTTCACTGCAAGAAGAGGTCGGGTTTCATAACGTGGAATTTGCTGCTGTGGGACATTATAGATCACTTTATGTGTATTTAAGGATACTGGTAAGGGTCTGTTAGAGAACTGCGTTCCCAGAATAAATCACTTCAGCCAGAAATGCCCTTCATGGAGAAAGATTATAGACCGGGAGAAGGCAGAGTGGGTCATTGTCACCTCTGCTTACTTGCCTTAGTCTCACTCTTTCCAGGACAGCTGGTTCTGGCTGTCTTCAAGATACTTCAAGAACTGCCAGCATCAACCCTTGTCTGCACTAGTGAAGCTTCTCTTTTGAACCTCTTGTTGTGGATGTTAATGAAAGTTCTCCAGAAATCCCAAAATGGAGCTGTTTTTGGACTGTGAATGCCCCAGGTTCACATCATCTTGTTCCTCCTTCCTTCCCAGTTTCGTTTTGTATGCAGGTTTGTCAGGCCTTCTTTTTTGATGTCCCCCTCCTGGGATCCCCCTAAGTGGCTGTGTGATGCTACCAGGCCCCAAAGCCTTGCAGCTGGTTGACAGACACCCCAGATGTTTGGGGAGTTTTGTTTCACTTTGGGAAGACCCTATGAAACAGATGCACATATGGCCTAGCACCTCTCAGTTTCTTCTGGCTGCACCATGCTAGGAGGATTGTTGTGGTTAAGTTACTTTGGCTGCTGTACTTAATATGCTTTGTCCTGTCAGCCCCTCTTGTGAAATTTGGCATTCTTGTACATTTGGCAGTGCTCAGGTAACTTGTCAGATCCTTGAGCAAAAGCTGAGCTTTCTCTAAATTGCTTTTCAGATTTAAAGATCTGAACACTTCAGAGGAGAGGTCTTTCTGTGTCAGGGTGATTTCTGTTTGGAGCAGGACCGCTGAGAGAAGTCTGCTGCTCTGTGTGCCTGCTTGGCTGCCTGCTGCTGGTGGAGACCTGGGCCTTGGATCCTTGCATTCAGCGGCTGGAACATGAACAGAGCCCCTTGCTTTTCAGGTAGCAAGGCACGTGTCCAGCTCTGGAGTAACTTCTGTCCCCTGATGGAGACTTGTTCACCTCCAGCCAACTCTCCTGATGCTGTATCGCTGCCCAGGTTTTCTTGGCACATGTTTCGTATGTCATCAATGACAGGCTCTGTGCCTCAAATGCTAATATGGGTGGCTTGGGAAAAATACTGCTATGTTTTATTCAGTTGCACACTGGCCTTAGTGTTATCTGTGCTATACTAGAACAGTCTTTTCTGAAGTTGCATGTGCACGTTTTGTATTTGTGGTAAGAGATTGCAGGAGCTAACAGCATCCTTCCTCCCCTCACAAAGGTTAACAGCACCAGTTCCCAGTGGCATTAATATTTCTTGGCCTTCCAGTAGTCTTTCCTTCCTCCCTTTAGTTAAGGGACATTTATTGCAATGAGATTACTTCTTCAGGGTACCATAAAGGGTGAGTACTGGAAACTGGCAGAGCAGTCACATTTCCCTCTGCTCGTGCGTGCATCACGCAGTATTTCTGCATTACACAGTTGATAGGGAAGCCTGACCTGCAGTCACGAATCAGGTTGAACTCTCCTCTGGCAGAAAAGTGGTAGTTAGTCAGCTGTAGCACAGCCTGGAGGTAAAAGTTCTGGAGGAGCAGCTGCCTGCTTTAAGAGAATTTTTGAGGTAGCTTTGTAAATACGTGTCCCACCTTGTGCTGCCTCCTGAACATCCCTCCTGAGTGGTGCTGCGGCTCTGGAAGGATTGACTGCATCTTCTGTAGTTGTGGGGTAAGCAGTGATGCATGGACATGCAGCCTCACCTGGCTGGGTGAGTGCGAGTTTCCAAGCTTCTGCTGTAGGAGCACAGGCACATCTGTGCACAGGAGCTGCACTGTATTTCAGAGTGCGGGTTTCCAGATGTCTGTATGTTCCTAACTATGGATGGACTGAATGTACTGGGGCACAGAAAGACTATGAAAGCCCTTAGGAATTTTTGAGTGAGTTAATTTTTCCACAGTGTTCCTTCTGACTTTATTTTGTCCCCACTTCAGGGCTTGGCTGTGTAAAGTTAGAGTATTCATACATGAGAGCTGGAAACCAACATTAAATTGTACGGTTGCTCCTTAGCCAAAGCAGTGGAGCCTTCCGTGCTGCTACTTCCACTTGACATTATTACCTCTTTTTCGTTGTTATTTTTTTAAGAGTTCTCACACACAAGCAGTGCATCCACCCAAACAGCTCAGCAGCCAGCAGGGGCTCAGCTGTGCATGGACAGGGCTCTGCAGGCACCTTCCCCTGTCCTGCAAACTGTAGGCTGTGGGGTGCAGTGTGTGGTGTTGGTGCAATTCTCTCTGCTCATTCAGTGAGTCAAGCTGCCCCTTTGGAGGCCAGCAGCATTCACATAACAGTAAATCAGACGAGACACATCACTAGCTTTAAACTTCGTATTCCTGTTGATCATGCTTAGAGGCACTGTGGGTTCCTCTGCTTCGTCCCATCCTTCCTCAACTTTCAGGGCTGTTTTTGGACTTCAGGGCAGCAATGTGTGGGACGGCTGTGTTTCAAAGTAGTAGTGCCTCCTGATCACTTGAAGCCAAAGGAATTTACAGGTCTTGTTCTCATAAACTCACTCACTGTAATAGTTCTACAATGCAGTTCATGCGCATGAAAACATCTTCATGCTGATGACCTGAGTCAGTCAGTCACTGCACACAATGTGTGTTCATTCGTCCAGGCTGGATGTGGCTCTGGGCAGCCTGGTCTGGTGGCTGGTGACCCTGCACATACAGAGGGGTTGAAACTAAATGATCATTGTGGTCCTTTTCAACCCAGGTCATTCTATGATTCAGAAAAGTGTTTCAAGTTGTGGAAGTGCTCCAAATAGGTGGGCCTCATCTGCCCACCTATCTGCCATGTGTTCCGAGTTACCTTTCCTTGCAGCCTCACAGTTAATTGCTGCTTGGTTCCTGAAGCTTTACTACACAAACCAAAAGGAAGATTGCTAAAAAGGGGCTAAAATAACGTGTAGAAAAAAAATGCCTCTACTTGTATGCCCGCCCTTCCACCAAAACAATGGATCTTAGCTTCTGTCAGGGAGAATTTCATTTCACGTGTATAGATTCAGTCTTTGCAAAGGGCCAGATGGGCTCATTGAGCATAAAATCAAAATTTCAGCATTTGACTTAAGAATTGCAAGTTTGCATCTGTTTCAGCTTCTTAGCATCAGAGCATAGATGCGTGCTTGCTTTAGGCATAACAGCACACCAGATTTCTGCATGTGTGACACACTTAATTAAAGAGAAGGTGAGAGATGAAAGGTAATTTGTAACGTTTGTCCCAACAAAAAATGTCCTTGTACAGGGCCACGATGCATGTTAGCAATATGCGTTGTCAAGCAGTAGGAACAGAAGGAAGTGCTGTGTCGTTCCCAGGTGGGCTGGCTTCAGCATCCCTCCATCCATCCTGCAGGAGGCAGGCGATGGGCTCTGCGTCGCAGCACCCCGCGTGCTGTGCCCTGTGCCGCCAGAACGGCACAGCAGTTGCTGCAGTGTGGAGGTGAGCTGTGGAGTATTTCAGCAAGCAGTGAGAAACGGAGCTTTAGGAAATGCCCTGAAAGCTCTGCAGGATGCACAGCACGGAGGGCAGAGCAAAGCGAGAAGGCCGTGAGCATTGCAGCCTTCACTGCAGCCAAGGATGGAAGAAATGTGAAGCGTATTTCCCCCTGGAAGTTAGCTGTGGTTCAGGGGGTGCGCGTTGCTGTGGGACCTCTCACATGCCCAAAGGAAGGGGCACATCTGCTTTGAGTTCTGTTGAAGTCATTGCACGTGTATGAGTTCGTGGAATGAGTGCAGAGCAAATTAGTTTCTTAAGAGAATAAATTCGAGTTTCACAGGCCCAATTGATTTCTGCTTGTCACCCTCGCTCCACGAGGTGGCGGTGCCTCTGCTGGGAAGGACGGAAGGCAGCAGCGCTCAGCTCCTGCCCCTGGTGCGCTGAGCGGCACCGCGGTGGCGCCCGGCTGACAAATGTCTGGCAGTGGCTCTGCTGGGTGGTTTGTACCTCGTCCTTCTGACATGAGCTCTGTCTGTGTTGGGCACACAAGACAGTCGTGCAGTGTTAGCTCATCAAAGCATCCTCTTGAGCATCTGGTCTGCTGCAGGTTTGTAGCATACAGAGGAGGCTTGTTAAAGTGTGGGAGGTGAAGTCGGGTGATCCTCGAACACTGGTTTATTCATTTGGAGTCAAAACTGTGACTTTACAACGTGGCAAGAAATGATTGACAGCTATCGTTATGTCTAGGAGGGAAGGGTAAATATTCCAAAGGATTTGCAACATCCATTAAAGCTTTTTTTCAGCAAGCTGATACAAAAGTGGTGTTTGGATGCAGGGTATGCAAAGTGTCATGACAGCATCCCTATAAAAATACAGACCACTTCTGTGTTGTGCAGAAAGGAAACAGCTCCTATATTCTCTCTGGAGACGCGCTCTTTGCATTCTGCCTCTGACTGGTTTAAAGCTGCTAAGCAGAGGAAGCATGCTGTGCCCTGTAAGGCTTTCCTAGTTGGCTGTCGTGGTGTCAGGAATGGTGTTTTTTTTTTTTCCTTGGGAAAGCAAGCTGTTATTAAAAGCTTCCACCATTGAAAAGGGTTAATATATATATTTTTTTCCTTCTGGGCAATGTCTAGGAAAATGGATGATGATGATGATGACGTTCCCCAGCTTTCATCCCATACATTGGCTGCCCTCCAGGAGTTCTATTTGGAACAGCAGCAGAGAGAGGGCATGAAGACCTCCCAGGGGTTTAATCAATATTCTGTTGGCTCAATAGAAGAAGACTGGGTAAGAAGCTAACCTGCAGCAAATGAGGCACATTGGTTTCACCAAGCTTTCTTTTGTGGGTAGATAATAAAAAGGCAAACACTTGAGGTGTTCCTAGAGTGGCCAGGCTGTTTGTGGATGTTAACACTGTAGGGTTATTCACTTTAAAATTAAGTCAAGTCAATTACATGAAGAAAGGGAATAAAGTTCCAGTTCCAAACAGAATCATCTGTTTGTTCACCCTCTGGAGACTGAACTCCAGCCTGGTGTGTGAGGGCAGTGAAGATTGTTCCCTAGGTTTGAAACAACACACTGTAACAAGAGGAATGTGCTTTCCTTCCACGTGTATTTCTGCTTGTGTTTAGTTTTTTGGTTGTGTGGGTGGATGCCTTGCTGCATTTTTTTTATCTCACAGACTGACTTTGTCTCTGAGTTTGTTTTTTTTACTCCTCCTGTTTCTGATCTCATTTGCTACTTTTATCCTTCATTTCCTTCTACATTGTTGTTTTTCAAGTTGTTTTTTTTTTTTTTTTCCTTTTCCATTGAAGTAACTCAATTTAAGCACATGTTTATTTTGCACTTCTGCATATTGGGTTTGAACTAACCCTGCCAATGATTGGTTCTCCTGCTACCATAGGTAAGTGCTTTAGAAAACACACAGTGCAAGCTGCCTGCTGTCTGTCCTTGGGTTTCAGAAGTAAAAAGCTTCTCTAGAAAATGTCACCTTTGTAGTTTGTGAACCAAGAAGTTGCAATGGATGTGGGTTTTCTTCAAATAGGGCTCTCAACCCAGTTGTTCACAATCAGGAGATATGATGTTGCTTATAATTGTGTGTTATTTTTCTCAGCAACTGAGCCAGTTTTGGTACAGTGATGAGACTGCATCGTGCCTGGCTAATGAAGCGATTGTGGCAGCAGGAAAAGGTGGCAGGTAGGACTTAATAGCTACCTTATGGGTTTAATGTGTCTTTTCTGTAATTGTTCCATTTATGCAGGGCGAGCATGCAGTGTAATTCATTACTTTTTGTACCTCATCTTCCTTTGCAGGAGGTTGCAGAAATGCCTTGCCATTACTTAATCAGTAGTTCTTACTGAACTTGTTCTGAATTGCAGTGAATGTTGTAGGCTCTGCTGGACAGAATCATGGAATCCATAGAGTTGGAAGGGACCTTTAAAGGCCATCTGATCCAACCCCTGCCATGAACAGGGACACCTACAGCTCCATCAGGAGCTCAGAGCCCCATCCAACCTGACCTTGAATGTCTCCAGGACCGCAGCATCCACCACCTCTCTGGGCAACCTGTGCCAGTAACAAAAGTTTACTACGGATCTTTTTTTCTTTTTTTTTTTTTCCCCTAAAAAATTCAGTGAGCTCCAGAGCACATTAATGACTTCTAATTCTTTTTTCTATTTTCATACATTTCTGCAGAACAGATGGAAAAACTTTTCCCTCTTAGTTCTGCAAGGATTTTCATTTGAAAACAAGTTTTCAAATTACCCGGGGCAAATGTTTAAGATGTTTTCCCACAGCAGCTCTGAGAACTTATGGCACTGTCCTTATTGTAATTATTTTTGTTGCCTTTTGAACTCAGCATTTTGATATTTTATGTGTCTTTTTCAGGATAGCCTGTGTCAGTGCACCCAGTGTGTACCAGAAGCTGAAAGAACAGGATGGCACAGATTTTTCCGTGTGTATCCTGGAGTATGACAGAAGGTTTTCTGTGTATGGAGAAGAATTTATCTTCTATGATTACAACAACCCTTTGAACTTACCTGAACATCTCCTGCCGCACAGTTTTGACATTGTGGTAGCAGATCCACCCTATCTGTCCGAGGAGTGTCTTCAAAAAACTGCAGAGACCATCAAATACTTAACAAAAGGAAAGATTCTGCTTTGCACAGGTACAATTCATAAGAATACGTAGATGGCCAGTAAGCTGCTCTTCTGTCTCCAAAGGCAGACGTATTCAAGTGAGAAGAATCCCAACTCAGTAATACTCATCCATAGGTAATTCTGGGGAGAATTTATGTCCAGAAGAGGGTACGCTTGTACTGCTTTAGTTCTGCATTTACTTTTCATTGAGGATATGTGTGTTGTTATGATTAAAATCTGTACCCTTTTCTTACTGTGTTATGAGTTTTACTGAATTGTTGAAGAACTGTTGAGATCCCCCTGCAAAGTTCCAAAACGTTTTTCTCTTGTGAAGGAGACATTCTCTAAGATTGTATTGACTGAAATTCTGGCTGTGTCAAACACAGGTGCGACTTACTGTAGAATTTCTGATTTCCTAAGCATGTCTGTAGCTGCAAATTTTCAGCTGCTGAATTTAGCAAGATCTAAGGTAAACTAAATAGAAAGACAAGTAGGTTAGCGTGGCCTTTGCCTGGTGAAATGGGATGGTTTCAGCTGAGTCTTCAAAAGAAAAACAAGAAAAAGACAACTTTTTTCTTTTTCTTTTCCATATCAGCTGCTCCTCACTGGTCAATATAGCAATTGCAGTGTGAACGAGCACTGGAAAATTCTGCCATCAGTTCAAATAATTGGTTCTTAGGCATCAAAATGCAGCAGGAGGAATTAAAAATTGGTGATTACAGCAGTGAAGCTGGAAGACTCACTGAGTGCATTTGCAGGCCTTGTTTGTGAAGATGCACTCCATAGCTTTAAGAAGCCACGAGCATCTGCCTCGGCTGCGGTGGTTCTTAAAGCTGTAGCCTTACAGTCAGACATCTGAAGACATTCAAGAAACTTTTGCAAAACAAAATCCGAAGGACAAAAACCCTCTGTATGTGCAATTCTGGGCAGCCAACCAAGTAGGCAAAACAGAGAAAAATGAAAATAACATGTGGACATAGAAAGTCTACTTCTTTGTTTAACTGTAAAAGACAGTCATGCATAAAAGTAGTTCTGAGAGATTTTTTTTCCTAAAATGGATAAGTGGGCCTTCAGTTTACACAATTTGACAAATACTCTTCAAGGAAACGATTTCTCAGCGTGGAGCCATAAATATCACACTGTGGTTTATTTAAATAAAATAGTATGTGTAATCTGTTTGCATTTCCCATGCTCCCCACCATGAAATTTCTCTGCCACGTAGCAGTAAGATGGAGTTTGCGTTTCTCTTTTCAGTGAAAGGGGCACTGATCTTACCCCTCTACCTATTTTCAAGAAACTTTGAGGATGTTCTTCCATTCTCTCATGCTTAAATTGCACAAAACTTCAATTGTTGAAGAGACAGTTAACAAAGTGACAGTGCAGCTGCTTTAAGTCTGTTCCCTAAAGAAAAAGGAGGCAGGCAATTGGGAGCTATAAAAAGCTAATAAAAAGTCCAAACATTCTGATATGGTTACTGTTGTCTCACCAAGTACCTGTTGTTTTTGGTGCAGGTGCAATCATGGAGGAACAGGCAGCAAAGCATCTTGGTGTGAAGATATGCAAGTTTATTCCAAAACACTCTCGGAATCTGGCTAATGAATTTCGATGTTATGTGAACTATGCTTCTGGACTGCACTGATTCTTGGGAGAAGATCTGGAACTTTCTCAGAAGATCTGGAACTTTCTGAGAAGATCTGGAACTTTTTCAATCAAGTTACTTTGTATTTTTTCTCAGTGACTCACAATGCTGAAACATTCCACTCCAAGCAGCATTTTCTGGGCTAGAAGTAACCAACACAGGATGATAGTGTTTCTCTTTTAAATGTGTGAGCATTTGCAAGTGTTGTTTACCTTACTTGTTAGGTAAGTGGGGACACAAACAGTGCAGGTTCTGCATAATGGAAACTTCTTCATTAGAGTTCCATTCCAACCAGTAGTTTTTACCACTGGAGTACTTTTCTGTGACCTTTCTGAAGTGATTTTAGCTGGTTGGCCTCTAACGCCACGTAGGTGCTTGCCTGACAGACATCAGATCTGTCAGCTGTGTCAGCCTGCTGACTTGGTAGCTAGCAGATGATTGAAAGAGCGTGAATGTTGGTCTCCCCTTTCAGAGCTGTTTGTTCTGAACAAGATGTGCCCAGATTCATTATCCAGCAAGCTGATGTTTTTGTAAAGAATAACTAAAGGGAAAACGCATCTCCTTCTGGGTAGGTCTCTCCAGTTGCTTTTTAGAATAATCAAAGATTTGCCAACTAAGATAAGACCTACTATCTATTATTGTCACCAGAGTGGCTTTAAAAAAAAATAAATGCAGAGGTTGTTTCACCTTTTATAAAGGTTTTTCAAAAATCCAGACTTTGTTTTTGTAGAAGATGAGATCTATTTTGTCAGCAGTTGTCACCATGTAAACCTGCATACATGTGTCGTGCTTGAAAAAAGTCGTGTTAAACATCTCTTTGCAGCAGTACAGTGCATTTATTTTGCAATACAGAATAAACATGAGCAACAAAAACTGATTAACTTGAAAAACAAACAAGAAATACCCAACTAGACTTTTGTATTCACTAGCTAAGCTTATCTCTAAATGTTGGTATAAACCTCACGTCTCCTTGAGAAAATCACAATAAGGATTCACCCCCTAGACAGAGCTTTACTTTCAATAAGAATGCTGTATGTAAGTCAGGTAAAATCAGCTTAAAATACAAAATAATTAATAAAAATGCCACACATCAGCCAGTTGTCTAAATCAGTGCTTCAGACCGTGTCCATGGATTCTCTTTGAATTGCTCCTATTGCTGGCTAGGGAATACTGCTTGTGTAGTGACCTGACTCGCACATGGGCAGCAGATCTCGAATCGCCGTGGATCTGATTAAATGCAGTGCCCGCATTTTCAGCGATTTCAATATTGATAAGCTAAAGATAATTTACAGATCTATCAAGTTTGTAGTTCCAAGAACAGGTCTTTTTTTCTGAATACCGATTTTCTTCTTGGTCTTCTGTTCCACAGACAGAAGTGTTAGGAGTACAACAGAAATTGTTGGATCTTAAAAGGCCGACGAGGTATAACGTTTGTAATAAATTCCTACTGTTTCTAACAGGCAAATATTAAATTTTATATAAAAGAGTTTGGCTGTATTTCAAGCAATTTCTGTCAAAGTAGGTGCTGCATTAAAAAAACTTCAGCAGAGATGGGATTGTTGATAGTAGGACCCTTTTAGAGCCAGTTTTCTTTAACCTCCTGGCTACACTACTGATGTGTTTTTGGGTGAAAGCTGATTCGTGAATTCCAAGGCACTCCAAAGTTTTTATCATCTGTAAGTATACCAAACAAAATATACGTACTTATCTTTGTGTAGCATATTAGATATTGGATTTGTGTAGAAGGCTAACGGAAGTGTTGCATCTACAAAATGAAGCACCTAAGTATTAGAAAATCTATTTTATGAAAGGGATAAGCTTAATTATCCTTTTGAGGCAAGAATTCTAATAACATAGAGGTCATACTCATCTTTCTGTGCATGTGTGCTGTTTGGATGCAGACTGTCCCATCTGTAGAGTAAACAAATGTGGAGAAATATTGTAGATGAAATATTTTTACAGTGCTCAGAGAATCGTGCTTCCCAAGTTGGAGCTAAAACTGGATCCTAAATACTCTTCCCAAGCCACTCTTGCTCTCCTCTCCGCTTTCCAGCAGATCTGTTCATGTCCTAAGACTTTTCCCCCACATTGTTTTCATCAGCTGCTTCCCCACCCTTTACAGTGCTCCTGAGATTCTTGGCACCAGTTTTCTTTCTTTCACTCCTGTTGGTTTCTGTCACAGGGCTGCTAATGGATACTGTCAGAACAGTGCCTGTGTGGTAGAGGAAGAGCTCAGCAAGGCTGATCCAAGAGTCGCTGCATGCCTATGGCCAATACCTGTCAAACCAAGTGATGCCCCTGCTGTTAAGCCCAGTAATACCAGAATTCTCCTTGAAAATTCCTGCCCACAGGTGACACACAGAGCTGGGCTTAGCTGTTTTCCAGGAGCCTGAGCCATTGCTGTTACGTGACCAGTTTGAAAATAAGAAAGCAAAGCAGTGTTAAACACGTAGGCATTGGCATAAATCACAGCTGTGAACTGTTTTGTGTTTATTACCATGCCAACTAGATGGAGGCAATGCAATATGAAGCAAATCCTGAAACTTTTAACTACACAGAGGCCTCAGATGGGACTTTGCTAATTTCATCAGGGACGCATTTGTTTTTCTTAAAAAAAAGTACAACTTTGAGTTGTACCAAGAAACCCAGTTTGCCAAATAACTGCTGCCTCTCACACAGTGGCCAGACAGCTTTGAAAAGAGGCTCTGTGAAGATGTGTGACTGCAAATGAGGGTACTTGTAAATTTTTGTAGAGGCAGTCCACAGAGCAGCCCATTATTCACCAGCTTCCTTCTCCCAAAGCTGGTGAGGATGGGCAGCTGCCCAAGCAGAGCTTGACTGGTGGCATTCACAGTGTTCATCAGTGATAGGTGGGAACTATTTTTCCTGTATTCATTTATGGGGAAGTTGCTGTGTTTCTGAAGCCACAAAAGTCTGTAGTGAATTTGTACTGTATGCCAATGCAGTAAGTTATGTAACAGCAAACATCTCTTTTCTGGAACAGGATTATCAGTGTCATGTAGCTCTTGGCTAGGTTTATTACAGGTCTCTCATGGATTACCTCTCTCTCGGTGAAGCTTTCAACATGAAGCCATTCTTCCAATGCTGCCAAGCAGCAGGACCTCTCAGTGCCACGCAGCCATGTGCCAGTACACCGTGTGACACCTGGCAGAGGAAACCTAGCATTGTGCACATGAAGGGGCAGGTGCCATGGCTATCTGCATTGTAACACATGACAGCTGAAGCCTTCATTAAACTCTAATTGGCATTACAGTGTTGTGCTCATCTCAGAGTCACACAGCCAGCCAGGCTTCGTGCCTTCGCCCCTCAGTCCAAGTGGGAAGCACCCGCTGATGCTGCTGCTCCATTTCTCCTCATATTCTGCAGCTTCCTTGAAAGGAAGTGCTGCAGAAACAAGTGGTAGCTCACACCACCCAGCAGCAATACGTGCTGATCTCCCTCCTATAGTTACAGCTGCTCCCTAATCCCAGAGAAATTAACAGGCAGTTATATGTTCTGAGAGCATGTAATCGCCTTCTTCCCTCTTCCCCTTACTGCTGGCAATCTTGTGCTTATTTGCAGCTGCAGGCCACTGCCTGGTTATGCAAACACCTTCTTGGAATGATGGGCCAGTAAACCAAAGCAAGGATCTCAGGATTTTCTCAGCCTTCCTGCATGATACGAATTTTCCAATGTATCTTAAGTGATACTACAGAGAAGAAAATAATTCCTTTACCAAGGATATTGTTCCATGTTTTGTGGCTCCTAATGAATTCCAGGGACAACCTCCTTGCAGGAGAAGATTTTCCTGGCACAACAAAAATTTTCTCAAATCAGCCACAGCTGCCAGATAGTTTCAGCTTTGAATTGTTTGCATTTATTGGGCCTGGAGTTGGTCCAATGAGGCATTTTGTGTCTGCCTTCTGTCAATAGTTTGTAAACCTCGAAGCAACTCCAATGGACTTCCCTCCCCCTGTGCAAATTAAAGGCAAGGCTACAGCAGCTGTAACCAGAGGGCTAAAAGCTGGAAAATGTCACACCACAGCTGAAGTCCAACTGATATAAATCCACAATGTGATGAAGTCTTAAAGAAAATGAAAAACAATCCAAACAAATGCAAATTACATTTAATACTCAAACTTTTCCACATGAGTAATGTGGAGAGGGTTTATATATGGAAGGGTATGATGAAGGTTAATAAATGTTTGCACAGCTAATAGTTCTTGATGTTAAGTATTAGGAAACAGTTGTTCAATCACAAATTATTACCAGTTGCTCACACTGAAACATAAACACCACTTTCAAGAGACACCTAACTGGAAAGCTGGATCAGAAAGCAAACTGGCTCAGCTAGAAAGCCTGTCATAGAAGAGAAAGAAGATTAAAAAAAAGGAAAGGAAAATAGCATGAGGTTGCCTGTGACCATAGGAAGCTTTCTGCACTTGTTGCACTATGAACAGAAGGTCACCAATATGCATAATCCATTGATCCACTGAGGTTTTGCAGTTCTCTAATACTTTCCTTTCAGCCATCCAATTCCTGAAGCTTTATGTAAGCTGAAGCATCTGTTCTTCTGTACTGACAAAACCACTGGTGTTCCATTTACCTGGTGTTAGCCCGTGATTCCCACAAACTCCCAGAATATTTTCCAGTTACTTGAAGAAACTCAAACTGATGCCATGAAATGATGGCTGCAGGACAGTTACAACAAAATGGGAGCTTTTTTTCTCTCTGTGTCACACAAATAAATCCACAGATGCTAGTTAACACATTTGTTGAAACATGGATCTGTGTATCAGAAGGATGTGGTCAGTCACACTGATTTTCTGGAGGACAGTTTTTAGAAGGAGCTTTGTTTACTTTGTTGTTGTTGTGGGCTACTTCTATTGTCTTTTGCAATGAACAATTTGTTCAGTATGTTATGGAGTCTGAAGCTCCATTTTCATCCTTCCTGAAATATGTGTGTGGAGAAAAAACACTGTGTTAAACAGTGAAACCTTTAAGGAACTGCTGAAGTATCATCTAATGCGTATTGATCTCTGCAAGTCTGCTTCCTTTTGAAACCCTCTGTCTTTGATTAGCACTTCCCTTTTCTCTGGGGATGAGAAGTTCTTCCACATTAGGAGGAAAGAAAAATGGCTCTATCAGCTTCAAGTATTTACATTCTCTGGAGAACAGGTGAGCACCTTTAATTGCTGGCGGCAGCGAGGCAATTAGCTGTTCTCTGAGTCCAATGAACACTTTGTGGCCTCTTTTGAACCTTCCTTTGAGAATCTCCTTGTGATACAAGTATCCACTCTGAGGAGACATGAAGCTAAGGTATAGTAATAAAAAACACATCTTTAAGAAACAGTTACATACTTCAATCTGACGATGGGATGGGAATCTTCCTTTTATTGGTTCCCAGAATTCTTGAAGTTCTTTTAGGCTTCTTAGACAGACTGCACTACGAAAATGCCATTATGCCATACTGAGCCATAAAGAGCACGATCAATGATTATGCATCAAGACAAGGAGTTAGCTGATTTTCATTCTCTGTTTAACTTGTTAATTCTGTTTAGCTCATAGACTTTCCATTCTGCATCCAATGACACTCCAAAGGCATGTTTTTGTGAAGGATTGAGACTTTGTCCTCCATGGCCCAAGCCCAATTTTAAGATTCTTGATGTAGCAAATGCCTCGACACATACTGTATTTATTCTATTTTACAACAATTCATTCAACTGTAAAAGATACTCTCTGCTGTTCATTTTGAGATTTATCTCACACTTTGGTGACTGACCTTTCTACAGGTTGTGGTCATGCAAGCTACCCGGTTAGTCCTTACCATCATTCTCTAGACTAAGTCAGTCTTTGGTCCCTCATTGTGGAACTGCAAGTTTTTGCTTATTGACAGTCTGTAGCTGAGTCTTGCCCCCACGTTCCTGTAAGCTGCAAGATGAAAGGCTGAATGCTTTTCTGCATGGCAGTGTTTCCACAGGTGATTGTCTGCTGCTTGTAACATGGGAAAACTGAGCAGAACTAATTGTGTAAGTTAGTTGTATTTAACCAGTTTGGCTTGGCTGTGATTCATCTCAATGACAAGAAAAACATTTTGGCCTTTCAACTTCACTGAACAGTTTTACCTCAAGAAACTGTTAAGAAGTTAACAGTGAATGAAATCCAACACAGAATTCTTGGGATCCAAACTCTGTTTATTCTAATGGATATTTTCCATTCAATTAGCTGTAGTCCACAATGGGGAAGTCCACTGCACCTTCATCACGTTCTAGCATGTTTTTTTTTTTCTAACCCTTTTGTACCCTTAGCAATTTGGTGAGTTTAAAAACAGCTAACTCACAGAAAGTTGTTTCATGAATGACTCCAGCCCAGTGAAGGTCCCCATGCTGTGCTGTATAAACAGACAAAGACATAACAGCAAAAAATGCTGCTTTGGGTTGACTTGACATAAGTCAAGTATTTTTAACTGTATTTTTAACTGATGTTTTGGCATCCGGACAAAAGCTATGTGATCTTTATATAAAAGTATTTAAAAGTAGAGTATAAGTGATTCCTGAATAATATCTACAACCAGCAGTCTGCTATAGCAATAGCTAGCATTTCTGACTATTGCATCATCTTCTAAAATTTACTGTGAATAAGTATGGATAAAATGTTCCATGCTAAGGAAAGGAAAAAAGCTATACTGGAATTTGCAAGAAATACTCACTTGAGCTACAGAAGTTCTTAATAGGAATTGTCATCGCTAATGATCTGAGCAACTGAACAGAATTTTCCATCCTATAACTGAAATAACTGTAAGCAGAGAAGCAGCATAATCTGATGCGTTTCTCTGCTGCGCGCAGTTTGCTGAGGTGGTGAAATAGTGACGTGAAGCCAATAACGCACAGACGACTCCTCCCATATTCTTCATTCCGACGACGGCTTGTTCTGGTTTACCAGCAACTTCATTTCTTGCTTGTCTATGCTGGAATTTACGCTTTCGGCCTCCTTTTCTGGCTCAGGCACACACGTGCAGCCCACTGGGATGGTGACGTAGTCTTCTGTGTACACATAGCGGCCCCCAGCGCAGGAGGAGGTGCGGCGGAGGATGACGGTGGGCATGTACACAGGGGTGCTGCGGAAGTGAAAATTCTCCTCGCCAAAGATCCCCATCAGGCAGCCCTTGCACAGACAGTATGCTTCAGGAATGTATTTAGGGTATCTTGTGGGGTCATATGAAATTCTACAGGGAAGCAGATAATAAAGATTCATTAGCGTCTCTCTGCATATTCATCTGGAAAACATTACTATAAAGTTATTTGACCGTAAACATTCATATAATGTTTTGGGGGATTTGCTGCCAGGATAAACAGCAGTAGTTGTTGCTGTCTGGCTTCTTCGTTGAAAAACTGAAAGAAAGAGCACAAACGACTCATTGAACTGATCAAGTCCTCCAGAGCCTGCTGACGTATGAAGTGACTGCCTTCCCAAAATGCAATTCAGGGGTTTCAACAGAGTCAGTCTTGCACTTTGGACTGAGTGAGAAACTAGAGTATTAGAGAAGACTTGGACACTTCCAAACTTATTATCTGCCTTGAGTTCTCAAAAATGCACTACAGATACTGTTAACATTCTTACTGTTGACATGATTATTTAGAATTATATAATTTAAATGGAATTACTTTGTACAGTTCTTTCTGCAGTAGTTTTTGCTCCCTAGTATGCCTAAGGTGTTCAGGGTTGTAAAGGTTCCTTCCTCTTAAAAGTAGAACTGAGCATTTCTTTGCCTTATTCACCTCTGTAGTTTCTGCCTCTTCCTCTAACCACATAGAATCATAGAATCACCAAGGTTGAAAAGACATCTAAGAGCATCCAGTTCAACCATCCACCTATCACCAAATTTCCCACTAAACCACATGCCTCAGTTGCCTAAACATTTCTTGAACACCTCCAGGGACAGTGATTCCACCACCTCCCTGGGCAGCCTGTGTCAGTGCACGACCACTCTCTTGGAGAAGTATTTCCTAACGTCCAACCTGAATCTCCTCTGGCACTATGTGAGGCCATTCCCTCTATTACTAGTTATGTGGGAGAAGAAGCCAACCCCTAGCTCACCACAACCTCCCTGCAGGGAGTTGTAGAGAGTGATAAGGTCACCCCTGAGCCTCCTCCAACAAGAAAAGGTGTGATAGTGTGGTTTCAGGTTTATACTGATCCTGATGGCCTTATCGCTCACGTTTTTAGCAGAGAGCAAAAGCTGGCACAGTCAGGTTGTTTTTTGAAATTAAAAAAAAGAGTATGAGGCACTAAAATGAAGTGTGCAGCCACAGTGCATATTGTGGTGACGATGTACTTGTTCCTCAGTTCTCCACCCCCTCTTCCTGCTTATACTGGAATTGCTGGGAAGGGCCATAACTTGGATTGGAAGAGGAGGTTTTTTACAATGAGGATGGTGAGGTGCTGGCTCAGAATGCTGCATCCTGAGACAGTCAAGACTAGGCTGGTCGGGGCTCTGCGCACTTGATGGAGCTGTAGGTGGCCCTGTTCATTGCAGGGGGGAGGTTGGATCAGTTGACTTTAAAGGGTCCCTTCCAACTCAAATGGTTCTATGATTCTAGGATCATTACAAAAACAAGAATTTTTCACTTCTATTTTTGCAGTGGCCATATATTCTGGATTCTTTATCTTTTTAAGAAACTTGATTTCCTTGCAGTGAAATGTGGCCAGTTCTTGCATAGCCAGACATCTGTGATGCTGCTGATAGGTTTTGCAAAGCTGCTCTGTCCCATTTACACTTGCTTACTTTCCCCAGGAAATACCTTTAAGTTATAGGATCTCACACCAATGTGCAATGAAATGTCTGCTAGCCAGCAAAAAGAAAGACAGTGAAATATGGTTGGTTCTCCTGTGATACATTCCTATTTCAAACTCAAATGTGAATAATTTCAGTGGCAGAATGTTAAAAACACGATATTTCAAGCCAGTGGTATTTCCTATGCTATATTATCTCTAGCACCTGGTTTATGATTACTGGAAAGCACAAAAATGCTTCTTGATGCAAACACTGCAATTTTCACTAATAACAAGAGAACAGAGTCAGCGGAATCATGGACTGCAACAAGCTTCCCCCTTCTGAATTCTCACATGGAAAAAGTCAGGCACAAATTAGGTTTTCTGGAAAGATGGTGTGGTGTGGTTTTCTACTGCCTGTAGTAAAATCTCTTATATTCCTAAGTGTGGAGTAAGTACCACTGGTCCATGAGATGAGGACTGAAAGGAATCAGTCACAAATGTGAAAATGAATCCAAAATGTAAATACAGTTTTGCATCCAGAGCAGAACTGGAGGGCTGAATGCTCTAAGTAATTAAATTAAAAGCTATACTGAAAGGTTCTGCATCTTCAGCTCAAATTTCCCGACAAAGACAACCTAATCATGCAAGTGTATTTTGTGTCCTTCTCTTGTCTTTATGCACAGATCATCAGTTTGTGCATTCAGCGACCACAGCCTCAGCTGCTGCAGGTTGATGTATCTTCATTATTCCAGTCACTACAAGTTCATTTTTTAAGTCTTTTGGAACAGGACAAGCATGTTTGACAGTGTTCAACAAATGGACAAAAAGTGTACTCCAAGTTCCCACTGACTCCTTCCTACGTGTGGTAGAATTTGCACCAAATGGGTGGACACAATAGAATTTGCCCAGAGAAGCTGTGGATACCCCATCCCTAGAAAATGTTCAAGACCAGGTTGGATGGAGCGCTGGCAATATGATGTAATGGCTGAATTAGAAACTGGCAACCCTGCCTGTGGCAGGGGGGTTGGAATTGGATGACCTTTGAAATCCCTTCCAACCCTAGGCACTCTATGATTCTGTGGATCAGGTGAAGGTGAAGGATGACTTGAGATCTGCAACTTCCCACAGCAGTGTCCCCTGTATCCTTGTGCTAGGTGCTGTACCACAATTGCAAACTACACAGACCAAGCACATAGATGCAGGCTGCCCCTGGCACTGAGCTCGAGTTGTTGTATGCCAAGCTATCTCTCCCTGGCCAGTGGTCCTCATCTGCAAATGACCAAGCAGGGAGCTGTATGGGGCTGCTACATTTCCATCTGCTGGAACAAGCAGCAGGTTTGTGCTGAACTGGAACTGCTAATGAAGTGTGACTAGTTCTAGGCTGCTTTTACTTACAGCCCTATGAGTGTCTTGAGAGCTCCCAGTGAAAAACAAACTTCCTGCCATTTATGCACTAAGCCTGGAAACTCAAGAGAGACCCTGCTGTCAGAAGCAAAACTCTTGCAAAGCCTTTGTCTCTCTTGCCCTGTATTGCTACTTCAGATGGAGTATTTTTTAATAATATTAGCACTTCATAGTCTTCAAGCTTCCAAATCCAGCGGTCAGATGCTGTGCTGGATTAGGCAGGCACGGCTAACTTCAGAAACCCACAGCTGGCGTTGGGCAATTCAGTTCCACACGCACCACGCTTACTACCTGCATATAGAACACACTGAGCACAATGCAAATGAACACCTGCTACAGAGATTTACATGTTCTGCCAAGGGTAAAAAAAACAGTTGTTAGCTCCTAATCTTTCAAGAGTACAACGGGACAATGATCTGAATGTCACACCTCCAGTACCATCCAGCTGCTGTATGGACGGGTACTCAGAAAAGACAGCAGTTCTGTGTCCCCCAGTGTTCTCAGCCTCAGCTGCACCTTTGGGCCATGCACACTGTGCCACACACAAAGGCTAAATCCTGGAAAAAGTCTTGGATAGGGTTCTTGCAAATCACTGGATTTTTATCTAAAGGAAAAATGTGTATGACTTCATTTCCAAAAGCGCTGTAGTCAGGTTTGGCCATGAAGACAGGCCAGCCTGTATTACTTTTATTAACATTTTATGTAAAAGTGAGCACTAAACTAAGGATCACAGAAACACAGAATCACAGGGGTTGGATGGGACCTTGAGAGACCATCGAGTCCAGCCTCCCTGCAAAAGCAGCTATCCTGTAACAGGTAGGTGTCCAGATGCGTCTGGAATCCTGCCCTTCTGTTCTGCACTGGTGAGGCCTCACCTGCAGTACTGTGTCCAAGCGTGGAGTCCTCAGTATAGGAGAGACATGGACCTGTTGGAGTGCGACCAGAGGAGGGCCACAAAAATGACCCAAGGGATGGAACACCTCTCCAAAGACAGGCTGAGAGAGCTGGGGCTGTTCAGCCTGGAGAAGAGAAGGCTGCAAGGTGACCTGGGAGCAGCCTTTCAGTATCCAAAGGGGAGCTACGGGAAAGGAGGGACAGATTCTTTCAACAGGGTCCGTGGTGAAAGAACAAGGGGAAATGGCTTCAAGTTTAAAGAGGAGAGATTTAGGCTGGATATAAAGAAGAAGAGCAGTGAGGGTGGGAGGCACTGGAACAGGTTGCCCAGAGATGTGGTGGATGCCCCATCCCGGGACACTTTCAAGGCAAGGCTGGATCAGACCCTGGGCAACCAGACTGAGCTGTGCATGTCCCTGTTCATTGCAGGGGAGTTGTATTAGATGGCCTTTAGAGGTCCCTTCCAACTCTAAGGATTGATTTTAGGAGTCTGTAAATACCTCCATAGAAGGAGACTCCACAACCTCTCCAGGCAGCCTGTTCCAGTGCTCTGTTACCCTTAAAGTAAAGAAGTTCTCCTGCATGTTAGTATGGGACTTCTTATGTTCAAGTTTTAAATGGAAACTTTCTTGAAAAGCAGAAAAACCAAGCTAGGCAACGTTTGAGAAAGGGACCAGATTGCACTGGACTTCACCATCAGATGAACATAGGCAATAGGAACCAAATCTCAAGGAACTCACTACAGAAAAGAAGTGTAAGATGGAATCCTAAAAAAATGGTGAGAAATTCTGCCAGTTATTTCATCCTACTGTGTTTCAGTAAACAACCTCCCGTGGAAATCGTTACCTCTATGCAGAAGTTCTTTATTATTTTGCTGGCAGTAACAAAGTGCTGCATGAAAAATAAACAAAGGAGGACTACACTCTGGAGAATCTGAAGCTCTAATCCTGTCTCTCAATTCATGAAGTGACCCTTTAGTAAAAAACGGGGAGGCTCCAAGAGAGACACAGAAGCCGTAAGACTTGGAAATTCAGAAATAGGCATGATTTCTTGACTACAGAGCTTTTGTAACTCTGCCTTTCAGTCCTAGGCTTGAACGCTATTATAGCCCTCAAACAGCAGGCAATACGGTCGATGAAAACAGCTGATTAATGGAACAGCACTTGTGCTAGGCAGCAAAGCTAATGGAATCTGAGCTCAACGCTGTCTCCCACATCTTTGTTACGAACCTTAGTGTGGGACAGATGAGTGCACAGTGAGAAGGAGTGAGAACTGGCTGACTGGCAGAGCTCAGAGGGCTGTCGCCAGTGGCACAGAGTCTGGTTGGAGGCCTGTAAACAGCGGTGTTCCCCAGGGGTCGGTGCTGGGTCCCATCTTGGTCAACATCTTCATCAGTGACATGGATGAAGGGACAGAGCCCCCCCCCAGCAAGTTTGCTGATGATACAAAGCTGGGAGGGGTGGCTGACACACCAGAAGCCTGTGGCTCTCATTCAACAGGACCTGGCTAGACTGGAGAATTGGGCAGGGAGGAAACAGATGAGGTTTAACAACAGCAAGTGTAGAGTCTTGAACTTGGAGAGGAATAACTGTATGCATCAGTACAGGTTGGGGGATGATCTGCTGGAGAGGAGCAGCAGGGAAGGACCTGGATGTCCTGGTAGACAACAGCTTGGCTATGAGCCAGCAGTGTGCTCTTGTGGCCAAGAAGACCAATGAGATCCTGGGGTGCATTGAAAAGAGTGTGGCCAGCAGGTCAAGGGTGGTGATCCTCCCTCATTTCT